ACGCTCCAGCCTGGGGGACAGAGCGAGACTCCGTCTCAAAAAAATAAAAAAAAAAAGAACTCTTCCCTATCTTTAGCTTGTGTGAAATACAAAATAGAAAGTTAAATTACCTCACACCAATCCAGATGTATCCAACTTAGTATGTGTTTTAACCCTAAGTCATTGGTTTACACAGCAAACACTTGCTGAGCAGAAACTGTAGGGCACAGGCGAGCTCCCCTCAACGGGAGGCAGGGTTCGGGGGCAGTCGCAGGGCACAGCACGCACTCAAATTCCCTGGGAGGTGGGCTGACGGCCTGAAGCCCACCTAATGTGCAACAAGAAACCTAACCATGCCTGGGGGATAAGAAGACAGGAAACTTCACAGGGAAGCTGTCACAGCGGCCAGCTGGCCACATCCGTGGGGAACAGAGTTTGCCAGATGGACAATCAAGGGTCCCTCACCCCCAACCTTGGTAGGCTTCCAACTGCCACAACCAACAGAGGCAGGCAGGAGCAATGCCAGTGACCTCCAAACTCAGGTCGGAAGCCCGGCACCCTCTTTCAGGCTCTCTCCAGACACCGCCCCTCGAGACACTCCCTCCGGGAAGCCGACTGCCACGCAGGAAGGGCCAGCAAGTCTGGAGGACAAAACTGGTGATTCACATAAATATCCAAGCCCTGTAACCAAAGAAGCCTAGAACTGAGCCCTTCTAAGAAAAAGCGAATGAATTCCTTTCCTTCAGAAAACAGAATCTCACAGGCAAGGTGAGAGCTGCATCTGTCTCAGACCATCTGCACCACACACCGCGCCACCCCTGCCTGGGTCCTCGCCGTCGCCCACCACACGGCAAAACGAAGCAGCAGGTGCCGCCCATCAGGGCTGCTCAGCCAAGGTGAAGGAGCTTTCACTAAATACTGGCGTCTTTTACGTGCATTATGAACCCTGTAAACTGCCTGATCTCTTACTTAAGTGTGGAATAGAAACATCTTAAAAGGAAAGGGGACTCAGACTCTCTCCACGGAGCCCGCCGGGAGGCTCTCCTAAGCGCTGAGCGGAGCAGCAGCGAAGCCACGCAGACCACCAGTCACACCTGCGGAGCAGATTCCACACCTATGAGCAAAACGGAAAGGAGACAGCCAGGAAGACCACCAGGCACACCTGCGGAGCAGAGCAGGGTCTCTGCGTTCCGTTCCTGTCTGTAAAACCGGGCAGTGGCAGCACCCACCTCACCGAGCCACTCAGAATAACACATTCACCAAGGCGGTCAGAGACTTAGCCCCTCTCTTTTTAGGGAAATAGATAGTAACACGTTCCCTACCAAGTGAATGGAGATGATCCTTGTTTGCCCAAAACGAGTTCTCATTTCACTTTAAGAACTCTTCCCTA